TGGTTAGTGATGAACACGGTGGTGGTACTGGGCTGACGGTTGGACTTGATTGTCTTAGAGGTCTTTTCCAACCTTAACAATTCCATGATTTACACTCAGGTGCAAGCAGGGAAGCATGGGAGAACCCCAGACAGGAGCAGTCTCACACTCCTCCACCCACACCTGCAGCTGGAGGTGTTGCAGTGTCCTGCCTAGCTCCCCGAGCTCCAGAAATGGATTCCCTCACCAATTCCCAAGAAACCAGCTCCAGCAGGAATCCTGCTTTCCTGGTCTCAGCACAAGAGCACGGGCTCAACAAATGCTACAGAAGGCACAACATGAGGAGCATTGGAGCATTTCTTCCCATGGTCGAGCCAGTTTAGTAGTTCTACCTCATCTGCTCCCACCTCAATTTAATCCCAGTGTTCCAGACTCCCTTTCCTGTCGTGACACCACTCCTTGTGCAGCTGCACAGTAACTAGACCAGGAAGCAGAACAATGTGAGAAAATCCGATCAAAAGTACAATATCCCCATTCTAGATCAGCTTCCCAGTCCCATTCATCTCCCAACCACAAACAACAATTGTGCTGGCACGATTCAGAGCACAGTCCATGGGTGAGAACAGACGGCGGGGGAAAGGGGCTGTTCAGGCAGCTCTGCCACCAGAATATTCAAATTATACCGTGGAAAGCTGTGAATTCACAATCCTCCCCCCACCCCCAGCACCACAATCATCTTGCAGCAACACATTCCAGAGTTTTGTTTCTAAAGCCAACAAAAGAGTAAGATTCCAAGGAGAAAAGGACATTCATGAGGCTGACACAAAATTTAAGGAACTTAAGTCAAATCCATTTCAGTTGACTTAAGTCAGAATGTCCCAGGGGCAGCTGGAAGAGCTGCAAACGGTGGATGTATGAATCCATCCCTCACGGAACACTCAGCACAGTCCACCATGGCACCTTCTACCAGCTATAAAGAAGATAAAAATTGCTACAAAAAGAAGCCAAGTCTGATTTCTGTTCTTAAAGCCTGCTAATACTAGTTTGAAGGTTCAAAACTATTTTTATAGGGCATCTCTTCCATCCCTCTTTGATAATTCAGTCACTGTCTTTGACCAGTGTTATCCCTGGGATCATGGGAAGAAAAAAGTTCTGGCAGAAAAAAAGAAACTCACCAAATCCCACGTGTTGTATCCCAATTCCCAGCACCCACAAGTGGATTACAGTCAGTTCACATTTAAGCATGAAGAAAAACTGAGTTTTGGTTATATGACATTTTTAGGGCAAAAGAGCTATTTATCAGAATACTAACATTCTTCTTGTTGCCTACAAATTCCAGGAAGTCTCACAGTTTTACAGTCACTCAGCTGTGGAAAGTAAAATCAGGGGAGATAAATAAAAACTTCTGATGGCACTTGCTGCAATGCAAAAATGCCATTTCATTAGTACACACACATTATTGTGTAATTCAAAATGAACGTATTAGCTAAATTAATCCCACGTTTAATCAGATTTGGTACCTGACATCTGATGAGATGCTTTAATTACAGGTTTTCACCTCTGCCTGTTTCCAATGAAGAGCCAACTTTGCTCTATTTGAATGTTGCAGATGATACCCAAACACAGGAGAACCAGCCTCGAGGTTTTAGGTTTTATGCTCCAGTGATTTTTCTACTACATTACTAATCTGTATGCACATTTGGGTTGGTTTATTCCAAAAAGGACAGTGTGTTATGTAAAGATGGGAAAGAAACATGCTACAGCCCAAATATTTTCTGCATGAGGTGGTGCATACTTTTTTGTATCTCTGTTAACTTCTTATCAGGAAATGCCAGCCTTCTGCAATGGTTATAAAGCATTTTTTAATTGATTATACATTATTTAATATTGATTATACATTAAAGGTTGGTTTTAATCCTTCATACAAGTCAGTTCCTCGGGAGCTATGGGATGAGCTCCAGCAACAGGCCTTGGAATCCACACTTCCCATTTCTTTCATTTTTAACAGCTATAATCAATATATAGAACATTTATAAATCCTATTCCAGAGGCCTGCAAGTTAAGAACAGCTTCACCATCATTTTAAGTCACTATAAGCTGCTGAAAGAACCAGTCCCACCCTTCCCCACAGCCAGTTGCCACATGTCCCTTCCTTGAGTCAGCACAAGCCATTCACGAAGACCCACGGCAAACCCAGTTAAAAATCAGCATTCCTCCTCCCCTTCTCCCTTGGGAAGGAATAAGGGAGAAGCTGAGTTAATTTTAACATGGTCAGCTCCCCAGTCCAGCTCACTGTTGGTGAGCGTCAGTGTTGGCATGAGCGGAGCCACAAGGAAAGGACGGGGGACACAACCACTTGAACTGTGCACGTGGGAATTCATTCTGCCTGGAACTGCTCCTGGAACATCCACGAGGATGCAAGATAAAGTATTTAGATACCCAAAATATTCCCTTTCTCAAGCTACGCATAAATGAAATGACTCAAGGAGTTAGCAGATCAGAGTTCAAATTAAGGACTCACATCGCCGTTTCACCTGAGGTATGGGAGCTTTTAGAGTTTTGCTTAATGCTTTTTAATGAATATGAAAGCAAAAATCTTAACTGAGATAGTCATGGAAGCCAAAACTTTAACACATGGCACAGGGACAGGCTGATGACGTAACCCAGCCTGCCCAGAGAACGGGACAAAATATACCATAAAAAAACTGCACTACAAAAACCTCCATTCACTGGCTTTCCAAATGTAACCTTGCTTTTTTTAATCAGTGCATGCAGACTCTGCCACTTTAACTACAATAAACTGAAGTTCCTATGTCAGAAACCCCTGTAAACTCCCCAGACCACCCCAACTTCAGCCTCTCTCATCATCTCTGCGCTCCCAAAACATCCCAGGACCGTCCCTGATGACTCTCAGGGCTCCTATCGCCAACCACAACCAACCCCAGGGCACAGGAATGCGATCCAGAGGAAAAGGCACTGGCCCCAGTTCAACCTGGGGCTGGACTCACCCCCGGGCGCCTGCACTGCTAAAAGCAGAGCAGTTATGAGAAACTACTCGCTCTAACACACCCTCATCATAAATGCATAGTTGTGGTTCTCTCGCTGTGTTCAGACCTTTCCCTTTATCTCATCAGTTGTACTCGTACCCTGAGCCAGAGCACTTGTCCACAGGGTGAGTTTATCCATATCTATCTAGGAAGAAAAAAGACCCACTGAAATGTGTTCTGATCAGTCAGAGAACCACCAACACCTTTTCCTAGACCCAGCTGAAATCATACCAATATACCTCACGATCGCTTCATTATCCATTCTCAAAAAGTGTAATCATTAGCTCTAAAGTTTAAAGTGCTTTCCAACTTATCACCTCCCTGATCTTTTATTATGACAAAATACAAAAAGCAAACCTTGCTTTAACCTCTTTGTAACCATTCTCTGATTTATACACCGCTGTCAGGGCTGCTTGCTTGGATCAAGCAGCTCAGTTCAGCCACAACATCCTTCCCTTGACCTCCTCCACCTCTGAACCCACAGCCACGCACAGGAAAAAAAATACACACTTGATTAATCAGTTTGAGACCTCTTCCTACCTGAAGCATTCAACTATTCCATTAAATACAAAAAAACCCCAAGAATTCACAGTAAGATTGGGCAGTTCAAAATTTCTACTCAATTCACGAGTCCTTGAAGAAATTTTGTGGCTTACACAGAATGTTTTTATTTTCAATGTGCTCCAAATTAACGGTGCGCACTTCCCAAATTTCCTGTAGGATAACTTTGATGGGGTTTATCGCCTGTATTTTTAATTGAACTACCTTGTTTCAAAATACTTCTCCTATTACCCTCACTAGGATTTAAACCAACTGCAATACATCGTGTTGGGTAACTGGAAAACCTTGAACCCCTCTAGTAACATCCTAAAGAAAACTTACAAGGTACTGGTGATACCAATTAAACAGTGAGATGACTCTGAGCAGTTTGAGAGCTTCCAAGATATGCTTTGATTCATTGAAGTCTTTCTTTCTTTTACCTTCACCTCTAACAACACACAACTCAGAGCTAAAGACCACACTACAGCTAGTTCCAAAGATCCTAAAAAAGTTTCATTTTCCTCGTAACAACACTAAACTGGTTTAAACTTTCACTTTAGGGTAATAAGGGACTTTCAGTTTTTTCAGTTGTAGAGGCCCAAACTTGCTTCCCCCACCAGCTGTACTGTGGGCAGATGTGTTCAAGAAACTACTATTAAACTACTAGTAGACACTACGAGTACCACAAACCACTAGTAGTGACTTTCAGGTCTTTTAAATAGTAGAAAATGAAGTAAAAACTCGTGTGGTATATAACCCTTGTCCTGATGTACTCATCCGTGTTCTCGTGCACTTGTCAGAGCTCAAATTCGGATATTATAAAAGCAGGTGTTAATTTAATTTACCCTTAAGGGCCCTCCAACCCCTCTGGGGCTGACTCCCCACAGCCGATGCCGCTCCCCGGTGCCCGGGGATAACGCGCGGAGATGCTCCGAGCCCCCGGTACCGTCACCCCGCGCCCTCCCCACGCCGGGCTCTGTGCCTGGTTTTACCCCAACCCAGGGAGTTCCACCCCAAACCTCCGAGCTCCCCTTTTCCACCGAGCCCCGTTCCCGGGAGACTTAAACGAGCGGCTCTGGAGGGCCCGGCCGGCGCTCTCCGTTAGCCGCCGCTCCAGGCCGGAGGGTGCCCGTCCCGTGGGCCGGGGCAGCCCCGGGGGGGCCCGGGCGGGACCCCTAGGCCGAGCCCCCCGGCGCCGGCCCCGCGGCCGGAACCTGTCCGGACACATTCTTGCGGCAGCCGCGGCCGGGCCAGGAATGCGGCCGGGGGAGCCGGGGGAGCCGGGGCGGCCCCGCGCGGCCCCGGGGCCCCTCCGGCCGCGCATCCCGGGGCGGGGGCGACGGGCGGGCGATGCCCCGCGGGGCCCGGGGCGGCCCGGGGCGCGGGCCCGGCGGGAGCGGCGGTACCGGCGCGGGCCCCCCCGCGATCACTCACCCTTGGAGTAGAGCGACTTGGGGGACTCGAGGTCGAGGTCGGCGCTGAGCAGAGAAATGAAGTCCGAGGGCATCGCAGCTCCGCGGCCCGGCAGGGGCGAGGGGGCGGCGGGAGGAGGGGGGGCCGGGCCGGGGGGGCGCGGCTGCCTCCGCCGCGGTGCGGTGCGGAGCGGAGCCGACAGGCGGGCGGGGGGCGGCGGGGCCGCGCTCGGAGGGCTGCGCTCGGGGCCCGGGCGGGAGGTCGGGCCGGGGCGGCGGGAGCGGGCGGCGCGCGCGGGGCCGGTGTGAGCGGAGCGCGCCCGACGCCGCTCCGAGCCCGCTGCGCATGCGCGGGGCACGGGAGGGGCCGGCGGGGGAACGGCGGCGGCACGGCCGCTTCGCGCGTGCGCGGGGGGAGGGCGGGGAGCGGCGGGGGCGGAACGGCCGCGCGTGCGCAATGGTGGGGGGGGGGAGTCTGGAATGGGGAGGGGGAACTAACCGTCTGGGGAGAACCCCGAGGTGAGGGGAGTCCTCGGGGGAGCCCTTTGGCATCAGGGGAAGCGGGACGGCCCTTCACGGGGAGCCCCCAGGGGAGCCCCCTCGATGGTCCATCTTGGGAGACCTCCAGGATGAGGGAAGTTCGTCCCAGGAGCCCTCGCGGTGAGGGGAGCTGGGGTGGTCCCTGAAGGGAACCCTCGGCAATGGGGGGAGTGAGGATGGTCCCCCAGGGAGACCCCGGGGTAAGGGAGCCGGCATGGACCCACGGGGGAGGAGTGAGAGGAGCCGGGATGGGGGTCCCGCGGTGAGGGGAGCAGAGATGGCCCCTCAGGGGAGCCCCCAGGATCATGGAGGTCCCCGGGGGGAGGGCGGCAGCACCGGTTGCCCCCAACTCTGGTGGCCAGGGCTGTGCCAGAACCGGCTGGCCCGGGGCTGGGGTTTGATGGCCCCCCGCGGGTCAGGGCCAGCTCCGTCTCCCTTCAAGGCTCTGCCATGGAAACCCACGCGGCAGAGCTGTCATCACATCCACTGGTGAACATTGTCCAAAATAACGGGCTATTTCCAAATAAACAACATGGAAACGCCAAAGGAGTGTCATTAGTGCGTTATCATTGACACAGACATGGCAAATGCCTTAAGAAATGAGTGCCCCCGATGAGGGGAATGGGGAGGACACAAGCACTGAGAAGTTCTCCTGAGTGGGTTTGAGAGCCCCTTTCCCTGACAAGGTGTAAGAAGGGGGAGGAGGTAAGGAAAGGTGTCCAATTACTTTTCCAAAGTGTCCAAAATCTGCTTTGGAAGTGGGGAAGGGATGAGGAAGCAAGAGGGGTTGTGTGTGAGTGGATGGAGGTGCCAGGAGAGTGCTTAAGCTGTGAAAAATGGAGGAGGAAGGAGCTGTGAACAGCTGCCGCATGCCTCTGGTGCCGCACGGGCTCCAGTTTCCCTGTGGCACCAAAAGGTTGGCTCCCGTCCTTCCCACTGCCAGCTCCTGTGCCAGTCCACTCTCAGATTCCGGCAAAATCTCCCTCCAAAAACACTTGGCAGCTTCCATAAACTTGCTGTAGCCCAAAAGCCAGTGACCAGCCCTCAAGCCCTGTGCCCTGGCAGCCAGTTGGATACCATGGGACCAACACCCCAGTGCCTTCACCAGGTGCCTGTTCACACTGCCGTGCTTTGACAGTGCTGTGCTGGTTCCTGGAGCTTCATCCCACTGTGCTCCTGTGACACCACCATGCTCGTTCCTGGAGCTCTTTTCCATTGTGCTCCCCACCCGCAGGGTGCCCAGACAGTGCCCGTGGGGTCAGGGTGGGAGGCGTTCCTGGTTCCACAGCCCTGGCAGAGCGAGGGCATCTGTGTGGCGTGTGGTCAGTGGCATTTGAAGTCAGTTTCTCTTTCATCCCAGATGAGCTGCTTTAATCCCAGAGCTGTCCTGGCTTTTCCTCTCCTCCGCTTGACTTCACCCGTGGTGAGAGGCCATGGAGTGCGAGCACATCTTCAGATTTCAGCCTTGTCCTTCAGCCAGTGCACCCAGAGAGCACCTGCCCAAGGTAAGCCACGGATCTCTCCAGGACCCTTCCCTGGGCAGTGACAACTGGGATGTAGCCAACCTGTTCCGCAGGAACACTCGTTATGGCACACCTAGTTCTGCTGCTGTTTATGGGGAGTTCAGCATTGCTCACCCTTACATTGTTTACTTGCTTCAAGCCAGGCATGAGTGTCATCCCAAGTTAAAAATCTTCCAGAGGGGTTTGCTGTGATCACTGCGTCCCCTCAGCAAAATGTCCAGGGATGGGGCAGCCACAGCTTCTCTGGGGAACCTGTGCCAGGGCCTCACCACCTCACGGGGAAGGATTTCTTACCAATATCCCATCTAACCCTGCCCTCTGGCAGTGGGAAGCCATTGCCCTTGTCCTGTCGCTCCAGGCCCTTGTCCAAAGTCTCTCTCCAGCTCTTTGTGGAGCAGTCATACTCAGGATAGCTGCAGGGAAAGGCTTCCCCCTTTGGCAATCTCCTGCCTGCCAGCTCCTGGAGGGAGGGGGATTCACCTGTGCCACGCAGGGATAGCCCTGCCCAGCAAGGGAAGAACGTCTGTCCTGTGAGAGAAGAGAGACCTACTCTTACACCAGCACTACAAACCTAAACCATTTGGGAAGCATCCAGGGAAAACTATGCAAGACTGTGCTATATTCACCTCCTGTCTGAGTGATGAGGGAGACAGAGGCTCACAGAGAGCTCTGGGGCTCACAGATGGGCTGTGGGGAGGAAGGAAAACAGATCTTAGTCCTGAAAGGGGAGTGATGAGACGTAAAGCAATCAGGGATGGAGCAGGTGCCTTAGAGGAGCACAGGAATGGCACAGCAGCACCAGCTCTGAATGGCACAGCAGCACCAGCTCCTCGACTGCTGCTGGAGGGTGTTTGGCTGTGAAGAGCTTTGCAGAGTCCCAGGAAGGGCAGAGGTGGGAGAGCAAAAATGACAACATGGAGTGGGAGTAAAAGTGGAGAAAAAAAAGGAGTCTTGGTGCTCTGTGGAGTGCTGCAGGAGCAGCCTGGATGTGCAACCCTGCCTGTGCTCACCCAGCCTGGGGTGAACTTTCAAAGCGCAGCTCTGATAACAGCTGGAAAGGAGGGAGGCTGGGGGTGACACGGAAAGGGGACAGGTCCGGGTGCTCCCAGCACTCCGAGAGAGGGAGGCAATGGGCAAAGGCCAAATTTGAAGAAAGAATCAATAATCTGGTTTGGGGGAGAAGAGGGCAGTCCTGGACAATTAGAATTTTAATGACTAAATACAACTAGTCCAAGGATCAGCACGGAGCAGTGGGACTGGGGGGAATAACCACACAGAGACAGGACGGCAAGGCACAGATACAAGGTTTTCTGGGATCCAGTCAGAGCCATAAACTCCTCATGTGAGGCCCAGCATGTGGAAAAGCCGTGGGAGCAGCAGCAGTGGTTCTGTGTCATTGATCACAAAGTTCCTCTCCCTGCAGGAGCAGCAGTAGAGCAGCACATGTGAGGGGGAAGGAGCCTAAACCAGGATCGTGGGGACAAATTAGCAGGTGCCTGTGGAATATTGCTCACTCCGTCTGCGATTCCGGAGCCTACGTAGGTGTTTTATTTTCCAATGGTGTTAGAAAGACTGTCAGAAAATAATTAGGCTCTGTCAACAGTTCCCCTATTCCAAGATTACGACTTCCTGACTCATTAGAGCTGCCGAGGTTGGCAGGAAACTTGTTTTATAGTAATTTCTGTTGGCGGTGCCCCTGGAGAAGAGACAACAGGGTGCGTGTGACACTGGCGTGTGACACCAGCGTGTGACACCGGGGTGTGACACCAGCATTGGCCTCGGCTTCACCTCATGATGGAGCTGCCAGGGCCATCAGGTTGCCCAGGGCAGTTACTGCTGGCAGGAGACACCGTCCCTCCCCTCTCCATCCTCATGCTGGGGACAGGGAACAGGACACCTGATGCTGGGCAAGGTCCAGCTGTAGGATTGCCCATGTCATGAATATTTGCCTGGTTCGTGAGGGTTTTAAAAATAAAGGGGACACATAAATCCCATCAAAGACAGGAGTCTTCCCATTCAATCCCGGGGGAAAAGCCCCTGCCTGAGAATGGCTGAGAATCCCTGTCTGAGAGTGGCAGCTGTGATATGCAAACATGAGTTGGCTGTGCCAGGACTCTTCTGGGGCCTGTTGCCCCCTAATTTTACCATCTCTGTCCCAGACACCCTGCAAATCCTCCTCAGTGCTCAGAGAAGTGACCCTGCACTCGGTACTGACCCTGCAGAACTTGGAGGCAGATTTAAAAAGAGTTCTGAAATCTTCTGTTTATTTCTGTGAATTTTGGATCCAATTCCTCTAAATCAAAGATAAATAAAGTTTACAGTGAGACAGTACTTGGCAAGAACACAATTTCCAACCCTCCTCCTCAAAATCTCTACTTCCCACTCAGTTCATGCCCTTTTCCCCTACATTTTCCCTACATATTTCAGCTGAAATCCAGGACCACAGCAGACGGTTCCCACTGACTTTTCCATGCCCTTTTCCCGTGTCAGCACCTTGCTGATCTCCTGCTCCTTCCTGGGATGCTCTGACCAGGTACCATTTCCCTGAGGCTGCAGCAGCCACTGTGACATCCATAATTAGGCAAGTTTAAGAGCCAGATTCTGCTGACAGTCACAGAAGCAGGATGTTACATTCTTCTATAAGCAGACATGTAAATAAGAGACATATTCCATGGTCTCTATGTCATCTATCCATGGAAAACAACCCTCCTACGTGCTGCTCTTGCAGAGGCGTCAGTGTGGGAGTCCCCGGAGCACTGCCAGAGTGTGGCTATGCTCTGGGGGCACAAGGTGATGGTGCCACCGTCACACACCACGTGGCTTCTTCCTGGGCAAAACCTACACCCATGGCCACTCTGCCATTTGCTCATGGCACTTCCTAAGATTGGGATTATCAGGATTAAGCAAGGAGCCCTCACAGCTGCCCTGCTGTGGTTGTTAAAACTCCCATTGTAATTACAGCATGGAATATTGTACAGAATCAGGAACTGATGTGTGACGTGCACAGTGCTTAGCCCCAAACTGACACTTCCCCAACACCCTGCAGGGACCACC